ATCAAAACGCCTGCCATTTGTTATAAATAAATAAATAAATCTGAATGATATCCCTACGCTTGGCATCGAATGCGGTTCGAGGCTTTCAAGAATAATACGGAGCATGAAATAAGTAATTATCCCGAATCGTAAGAATCTAAAACTTCCATCCCAACTGATGAAGCTGCGTTGGATCTTTCCCCAATAACACCTTTTATTAACTTTCTGAAATTAGGTAAATGAGCGAAATTGTGAAATGAAATTTGTTTAACCTTTTCATAACGGGGGAGCATTGCTAAGATGATAGTGCTTCTGACAAAGATGCCAACACGAGCAGTATTCAATATTTTCGAGCCAAAAATGTTAATTTATATTTTATTGATACAGAACATGAAGTAAATTTTGCAGTGCAACTGCTTGTCAACATTTGAATTTGTTATTTTCTTAGGCAATAATTAACCGTTTGTCATGGAGAATAAAAACCCGAGATTAATAAGACATCGTATTTCAAATTAAATCAATAATTAGCTAACAGAGATATGAAACAATGAATTCAGGGTGAAATTTGGCAGAATTATCCTAATCTCGGCATTGGTGGTTTAACAGGCAACCATTAAATCTCTAATTTCAAATTTCAAAAGAGAGCCTATGTTTTTATTCGTAGTTTATACCTTCCAAAAATTTTTTTATTTTTTCTGCTATACAAAATGTAAATAGATTTCCAGATCATTTTGACTGGCAAACCACTTGAACGATATTTGAGTTCTCTATCTTATAACATTATAAATTATCAATATTTTCTAACCATGTCTAGGTAAAAGCAAGCATTATATGGATCAGGACAAATAATTTTGAGATTCATATTTAAGAAAAAGATAATTATTTTTCTAATAATCCGAAGATTCACTTCAATGCTTCCGGTACAAAAAGTAAATTGCGATAATAACTGCAAGAACGAAAATAGCCATTAGACTGCCAACAATAGCTCCAATCTTCTCCGCTTTATTCAGTTTATTTTCTAACTCTTGGGAAGTTGAAGTCTCGTTCAAAGTTGGTTGTTTTGGGGGACTGTTATCGTTGACGATAATAATCTTCCTTGGCGTTTCAGTTGTAGTATTTCCTTCGGTCCAGTTAGTCGATGCCATGCTGAATTCGAGGGTATAATTAAAAGTTGGATCAGTGGTATAGTCCGAATCAAAGGCATAATTAGAGTTGACAGTTGAATTGGAATCAGGGGTATAATTTGAATCCGTTGTGTTGAATAAGTCAGTTGTGAAGTGAAGGTCTACTGTAGTTGTAGAATTAGCTAACAAGCCTGTTTCTTTCAAAGTTGAATTTACTATAATGGCGGTAACAGCTCCGTTCAAATATTCAGTTACATTAACTTGTATTTCTGACACAACTTCTACGGTTGCAGCTGGTGAACTTAAACCGGACAATGTCATTGTGTCATTGGAATAGATGACCGCACTTGGCGTGGGAATCCCTATAAATAAGTATTTAATTTCATTACCTGAATGTAAAGAGAATCCAAATCTTAATTTATCAAAAGAAAGAATATTTTTTAATTCATTTCTATCCTTTGTCTATGTAACAAAGTAATTCAATTTAGAAAATCACGTGTATAGTTGAATCTCAATGAATTAAGCTAAGCTGTCAAAAAATCTAAAAAAACAATTTTAAAAGTAACGCAAATTATTATGTCTTCTCCTCTTTTCTCTTTACAATGCTTAATATTTATTTTATTTCCTATCAGACGAAATACTCCATTTAGTAAATATAGATTACTTGACCCCGCCTGAGTTAACCAATTAAAATGCCCTGAATGTACACCTTAGCGTATCGATTAGTAGAAGACTTAATTTCAACGAAATTTCATGAAACTAAAAGCATCGATTTTTCATAAATGTACCAAAACTGGTTCAATTACAAAACGAGAATATACTCGACATCCTTATTTAAAATCAAAATTAAAGCAGACTTTTAGAGAATTTTAAATCTTATTTCCACCTTATCACTATAACAAGCACTAACATTCATTTATTAATTTAATAAAAGCTTGAAGTAAGACACTAACCTGAAACAACTACGAGGGGTAGCAGGCTGTAGAGCACATAGGCTATCCGCATTCGAGATTGAGTATTGGTTTTATGTTTACCTAGGAAGTATGAGGCCTGAGCTCTGTGTTTTACATGCGAATCTGAGCGATAATGTTAACGTTTCTTTACTGCTCGGTAAATACGCTCAATCTACCTTTGGACTCATGTGGGCGTATTTACTAACGTCCCATGTGCAACTGAGTAAATAGTGATTGTAGGACCAGCTTCGCAAGCTGTGGCGCATTGGAATTGGATAATTGAAATAAGCTTAAGTGCATGTATTGATTCATCAATGACGATTGCCTGAACCTCTCATTAGAAAGTTAGGTAAAAAATCATAACGTCTTACTACTGATATTTCAGTAGGATTATCATTTTCACCGCAAAAATGTTGGGAGTACAAAATGGAAAATGATGCGACTGAACTTCTAGGGACAGGAGTAGACAAGGACATTGAATGGCCAGAGCTCAATTAAAATACGATTTATCTATCAATGATTGTCATTAAGGAGTTTCAAGAGCCATTGTTTATTTCAATGTCCTGAAACTTCGATCGCTCTGAAAATGCTTGCATTTGAAACCAAATCTGCCATACTTACATCTAACCTAAGGAGGAGGGGAGAAGACTTTGGTGAATACAAACAGTTTCTAATAACTTCACTACTCCATTGTGAAAAAACTGATCTTTTCCAAAAGTTTTAGTTGTTTCCACTTTGTCAAAGATGAAGGGCATCGTTGGAACGTAATGTAATAGCTTTTTCCAGAATTTGAGATTACGAACTCTATAGGCTTTGAGGATCCGTCAAATTTTGGCCTCATAAATAAGCTCTAAAAAGCAGGGCTGATGTAGCCCTTCTCCAAATATTTAATGGTGTAGCAGCAATTCAAACAGGTTTTGAAATCGCCATGGAAGTGAACTAATAATAACCAGAAGATGCAGGAAGTTCTGCTGTGCTTCTCCCAGCTGTGTGCTGGTTGACCAGAACTTGCTGATTTATATGCCTTAAGAGAAGTGGTTGTTCAATTGCCAAGCGCATTTAGATCATGTACGATTGGGGGCCGATGGCAATATCAGGACTCTAGGCTACTTTCAGTTAATGCCAAATCGAATGGAGCGAAATTGGTCGAAACTATGGAAATAAAGTTCAAGGTAAAATTTTTGAGCAGCTTTGACAAGACATTAACTCCAAAAGAGTCTTTGTTATAGAAATGAGAGATTCAGGTCAAACTGAATTACAGAGGACAACGGCAAAGAGACAATTCTAATGAAATGATCAGGATTAAGTTGATTTATCGCAGCGGGGTGTGCGATAGAAGTGGTACACCCTGGGCAATGTTTACTCATGTTTCAAAAAAATCTAAAAACCTGCAGTTGACTTCTGATTTCAAATTACCATGATCCGACTGTGTCATATTCAATCACTTCCATAATACTCGCCTTACCTCTTTTCTCTACATTTGAGCCTGTCTCCTTTAAATCTATGAATCAATCGTCTGTTTCCTCTCTCGATTTTTTTGCGACTTTGTTGTTCCTGTAAAGCCTGGAATCAACTAAAGGGCTAAAAATAACTATCATAAAGCCTGCAATTTGATATAAATGCATATTCCAAATACTTATAAAATTGAAACAAATAATTCACAGAAATAAATACATTAGAGGTCTTATCAAAAGTTTCAATTGATAAGTAAAAGCATTTCTTTTCTGCAAAAAAACATAAATGGTTTAGCGCAATTGTTTTTGAGATATTTCGTTATTAAAAAGTTGTTGAATTGACAAAATCAGATCTACCAGTGGTCAGAACACATCTATTTCAGCGTGGCTAGTTTTGGAGATTTGATTTCAGCTTCATGAGATTTGAATGATTTTCATTAATCATTAATGTTTGATAGGGGGGTGTGCGATAGATACGTGGTGCACCCTGGACAACGTATCTTTGTACGGCAAAATGGTGGGTGCACCCTGGACAACGTATTTTCTTACGGCAAAAAAGTATATCACTCGAGGTGCACCCTGGACAACGTATTTTCTTACGGCAAAAAGTCAATTGCACCCTGGACAACGTATCTTCGTACGGCAAAAAAGTCTTACTCGGCATTCGTTTTTGACTTCGATTTATTATGATTAGCCACTCGGCATTTGATTTGACTTCGATTTATTATGATTAGCTCGAAACAAGGCTAAAAGGGAAATCGTATTATGATTAGATTGAAAAAAGGCTATAAGAGAAATCGCCCTTATTAGCTTTGAAAAAGGCTATAAGAAAAATCGCCCTCGCAGAGCTTTAAAAAAGGCTATAAGAGAAATTGCTCTCGTTAAGGCCAATCACAACGTCTTCAGATCCTCCAGTAGAATGCTGGAGGGAAAAAAGGCTATAAGAAAAATCGCCCTCGTCAGGGCGATTCCAATTCTAGATCCTCCAGTGGAATGCTGGAGGGATGTCACAGGACAAAAAGGTCCAAGTACAGCAGTGTCAGTGGACGCTGGAGGGATGTCACAGGACAAAAAGATCTAAGTCCAGAGGTACAGAAATCCTACATTGTCTCCGGACAAAAGATCCAAATACAGAAAATCCTGAAAGTGATGAAGACATTTTCACAATTATGGAAACTAACATTTCGGATGACAAACTGTTCACAATTATGGAAGCTAACATTTCGGATGACAAACTGAATACAACTATGGAAGCTAACATTTCGGATGACAAACTGAAGTGAGTGGACGCTGGAGGGATGTCACAGGACAAAAAGATCTAAGTCCAGAAAAGGCTACAAACCTATGATGTAGACATTTTCACAATTATGGAATCAGGAATGTCGCCGGACAAAAAGATCCAAGTACAGAAAATCCCTAAACTTTGATGTAGACATTTTCACAATTATGGAAGCAAACCTGTCTCCGGACAAAAGATCCAAATACAGAAAATCCTGAAAGTGATGAAGACATTTTCACAATTATGGAAACTAACATTTCGGATGACAAACTGTTTCCCAATTATGGAAGCAAACATTTCGGATGACAAACTGAAGTACTACTAATTCCCAGATTACACCTGTACCTTCTACCTAAATACCAAGTTGCAAGTGGAATTCTGACTGGAGTTAAAGAAGGCCTCACCCAAGTGGAATTCTAACTGGAGTTAAAGAAGGCCTCACCTCCCACTAAGACCTCACACTTCGATCTAATCAAGAGTATGGGCTCGACACTAGACATATGCGAAATAATTAGATTAAATGCTTTGAAATGTCAAAATGTGAAATAATCAGATTAAATGTTTGGAAATGTCAAAACCACTTTAAGATATATGCATAATGTTTGGAGTGTCAAAACCACTTCAAGGTATATGCAGTCTATAATCCAAAACACAAGACATATGTGAAATAATCAGATTAAATGTTTGGAAATATCACTTCAAGGTATATGCAGTCTATAATCCACCCCAGAATCGTTTCAAGATATATGCAGTCTATAATCCTCCCCAGAATTGTCGAAACTTTGACTTTCTGAACATCTCACACAAATACTCTCTCACTTCAAGGTATATGCAGTCTATAATCCACCCCAGAATCGTTTCAAGATATATGCAGTCTATAATCCTCCCCAGAATTGTCGAAAATAATGCAGTCTATAATCCACCCCAGAATTGTCCAAAATTTGACATAAATATTTAGAAATGTCAAAACCACTTCAAGATATATGCAACGTTTGGAAATGTCAAAACCACTTCAAGGTATATGCAGTCTGGGAAATGTCAAAACCACTTCAAGATATATGCAGTCTATAACCAATGTCAAAACCACTTCAAGATATATACAGTCTATAATCCATTGTCAAAACCACTTCAAGGTATATGCAGTCTATAATCCAAAACACAAGACATATGTGAAATAATCAGATTAAATGTTTGGGAATGTCAAAACCACTTCAAGATATATACAGTCTATAATCCATTGTCAAAACCACTTCAAGGTATATGCAGTCTATAATCCAAAACACAAGACATATGTGAAATAATCAGATTAAATGTTTGGAAATACAAAACCACTTCAAATGCAGTCTATAATCCACCCCAGAATTGTCCAAAATTTGACATAAATATTTAGAAATGTCAAAACCACTTCAAGATATATGCAACGTTTGGAAATGTCAAAACCACTTCAAGGTATATGCAGTCTGCCACCCCAGAATTGTCCAAACTTTGACTTTCTGAACATCTAACAACCCCAGAATTGTCCAAACTTTGACATTCTGAACATCTCATACAAAACTAATGTTTGGGAATGTCAAAACCACTTCAAGATATATACAGTCTATAATCCATTGTCAAAACCACTTCAAGGTATATGCA